TATATATATATATATATATATATATATATATATCAGAAGTAGATAATAGGGAATATATATCGATATCATTTCTAGAACATGTTGGTTCGGCATTCTGGAGCAGCAATAATCAATAGGGAATACACATAGCTTCGCACCACCACTACAAACCACTAAGCTTGATTGTATAGGAAACACGCGGGCAGTGCAGTACAGTAGCTCGCTGTGGATGAGTGACACAATGAGATACTGCGGCTTGGCATGTTATCAGCGATTCTCCAGCCATGGCAACTGTGTCGAGGCTTCATCCACCGCTCAGCAGCAGCATCGCTCCATTATGTGCGCTGCCTCTCTATCCTGCCTGCCTGCCTGCCCACGCTGCTGCGCTGCTGCATGGTGGCCCACTTACATCCACATATACCCGCTACATGCTAGACACATAACCATCTACGTGCGCGTACGTGTGCGTGTGGGCGTGCGTGAGTGCGCGTGTGCGTGTCTGTGTGAGTGTGCGTGCGTGTGTGTGTGTGGGCGTGCGTGCGTGCGTGAGTGCGCGTGTGCGTTTCTGTGTGCGTGCGTGTGTCTGTGCGTGGGCGTGCGTGTGCGTTGGTGTGGGCGTGCGTGCGTGTGCGTGCGCGTGCGGGTGGGCATGCGTGCGTGCGTGCGCGTGTGCGTGCGTGTGCGTGCCAGTGGGCGTGCGTGCGTGTGCGTGGGTGCGCGTGCTGACGCCGGCCGTATTTTATTTGTAAATTAGATCCGTGTCATAAAGGTCGCTGAGTCGCGCATGCTGACGCACGCGCTGGCGCTACGATGAGCTTTACGGCATCCATATATCTCTTACAGTTACAACCATCCATCATTACATTAACAACGTTGAGAAAGCTCATAAAGCTATATATATATATATTCGAAAGTCAAAACTAGTTAAAAAAGCTTCGAGATTGTGGTGTGAAGAGATGAGCGATGGTGCAGCGAGTGGCAACTTTGAATAGGTAGAGTTGTAGCGATGGTGCAGCGAGTGGCAACTTTGAATAGGTGGCGTTGCAGCTACAGTGTCAGGATATTCGCGTTACAGTCGCAGACATACATTACGTTACACAAAAGCTCGATTGACGCGATATGAATCATTCTTACAGCCGACATCACCGATTGGTGCCAGCCTACCAAAGCACTCGTCATATTCATTCAGTCTCATCACGCCCCTTATTCATCATAGATACCAACAGCAACAATGACACATGCATGAAGAGAGCTTCACATGCCGGTTCCTCATCCCACCGAATTTATTTTGCCCCATAGATATTTATATAGATATTTATATAGATATATATTAGGGGCACTGTTGCTAGTGCGTCTATATACACATACATCTTGCCCGTGTCTGCCTTCCGACATCCGTAGACCTCACCGAACCCACCACGCCCAATAATCCGGTGTACACTGAAGTCGTTCATCGTTAACTGCAAAAAAACAACGATAAACCGCACCGAGTTAATTCACATCGACAAACAATGCCACTTAATAAACAACAACAACAAACAATCTTTGCTTAATCAACAACAATAACAAACAATGCCTATTCACACGCCTGTAGCTCACTGTGTATGAAACAGAGTGGTCACGACTGGTCAACCACGGGATTTGAAAGCTGCAACACTCATGCATTGATCAACTGCAGAGATGATGGTAAGAGTGCAGGGACTGCTGCTGCTGCTGACCTAGGCAGCAGCATTCTGACTAGTGAACGCTGCATCGCATCGTTTATTTACATAAAATGTGTACGGGAGAGAAACGATACAGTGGCAAGTGTTTACATTCCGTGCTGGGCTGGTGCCATGGTGGTATTTCCTAAGCACAGTGACACAGTGACGTTTCTTCAATAGAAGGTGGGGGGGGAGCACATGAGGAGGGAAGGAGTGATGGGGTTTGGCAGCAACGTTAGAGTTGAGTGATCGAGAGGCTGTTAAGAATCCAGCAGCTGGTGAAGACAACCCTGCTCGCACGAAAACGCATGCACGCACGCACGCACACTCACGCACACACACAAACATGCACGCACACACGCCTTGCTCACCCGTATATGCATGCACGCACGAACACACGCACGCACACATGCACGCAAACACGCACACACGCACGAGCACGCACACACACGCACGCTCGCACGCACACACGCACACACACGCACGCTCGCACGCACACACGCACACACACGCACGCACAGACAGACACACGCATGTACACACTCGCATGTGTATACGCACGCGCCCTCTCACACAATCACGTGTACATAGTAGATACACACACAATAGTCACACATACTCGCTTGTACATACTACATAGATACACACCCACGTGTATCTGCACACACATTCATTTGTACACAGAAAAACACACTCCCATGTACAGAATCAACACACACTGCAAGCACCCACACGTATGGCATGCACGAACATATTATATATCAGCACCGCAGCAACCACGATCACCACCCTCACAGCATCTCCCCCACACAGCCATCTGTTTTCTTTCCGCGAACCTTTCCTCTACCGCACTTAAATCTGCTGGCACCAAACACGACGCGACTGTATTTTCAGTCATTGTCAATGGCGCACTCACCACTCTTCTCTGTTCCCCGCCACAGACCAAGAAAGCAAATCTAAAAGCAAGATTATACTTAATAATGTAATTCACGTAATCTCACTTCGTTAGGAACTGTGTATCCGTCCCAGAAACACCATACACACTGTATGTATGTATGTATGCAGATAAATAGCATCTAGCATCTATTAAGGAAGAAAATCGCCATAGAAATTATACATACACACACACGCGCACACGCACACGCATACACACAACATACCACTACTTTATATATATATATACATATTATGATATATATATATATATCAGAAGTAGTATAAAGTAGGGCGATATATATCGATATCATTTCTAGAACATGTTGGTTCGCATTTCTGGAAGCAGCGAATAGATCAACTGATGGAATACACATAGCTTCGCCCAACCACTATCAAACACTAAGCCTGATTGGATGAGAAACACTGCGGGCAAGTGCCAGCTACAAGTAGCTTCGCTCGTGGGATGGGCCGGAGCACGCGGGGTTGCCTGAGTGGACACAATGAGATACTGCGGCCTTGTCATGTTATCAGCCGATTCTCCAGCCATGGCAACCTGTGTCTAGCTTTCATCCACCGCCCCCCTCCAGCAGCCAGCATGCGCTCCATTATTGTGCGCTGCTCTCTATCTGCCTGCCTAGGCGTGTGCCCACGCTGCTGCGCCTTCCTCTGCATGGATGGCCCCACTTTACAAGTCACAATACCGCTCACATGCATAGACACATAACATACTACGTGCGTCGGCGTACGTAAGTGCGTGTGGACGCCGTGCGTTCCGACTAGTGCGCGTTGTGCGATGTCTGTGGGCTGAGTGTGGTGCGTGTTGTGTGGTGGGGGTGCGTGCGTGCGTGATGTGCGGTCGTGCGTTTCTGGCGTGTTGGTGCGGTCGCTGATGTCTCGTGCGTCGGCGCGGTGCCGGTGTGCTGTTTGGGGTTGGGTCGTGGACCCCAGCCGGCGCTCCTCGTGCGTTGTCAAGTTGCGGTAGCGCGCGCGGGTGGGTCATGCGTGTTGTGCGTGCGTGGCGTTGCGTGAGTGGCCGTGCCAGTGGGCGTGCGTGTATTTGCCGGCCGGCGCTGCTGGCGCCTTGTCTGACGGTGTGCAGTCGGGTGCGCGCTGCTTTGACGCCGGACCGTCTATTTTATTTGTAAATTAGATTCCCGTGTCTAAGGTCGCTGAGTGCGCATGCTGACGCACGCGCTGCGCTACGCCATGAGCTTGTGCGGCATCCATATATCTCTTACAGTTACAACCATGCCATCCATTACATTAACAGACTTGATGAAGCACTCATAAAGCGCTTATATATAGTTTATATATTCGAAGTTCAAAAACTAGGTAAAAAAAAGCGCTCGAAGATTGTGTCGTCGTGAAGAGATGCCAGAGAGTGAAAGAGCGGTTCGATTCGTCGCAGCAGAAGGCAGCTTGGTGTGGTGTCGCAGAGAAGGAGCTGCTGCTGCTTACTGGCGCCCTCTCGATGGCCCCGTACCCGCTCCGTTAAAACACAAAAAAACAAAAACAACAAAAAAAAAAAAAAAAAACACAAAAACAAAAACCACCAACAACACAAAAAAAAAAAACAAAACAAAAAAAAAACAAAAAATCAAAATAAAAAAATCAAACAAAAAAGAAAGAAAAAAACAAAAACAACAAAAAAAAAAAAAATCACAATCAACAATAAGCCTAAAAAAGAAGCTTCCTATCACAATCGGATAAACTATCCCCCAAACGCCACCCGCGACACCCAACCAAAAACAAAAGAAAAAAACCGCAGGCAATGCCCCCGAAAAACCCGAGCCCTCAACCGGGCGCCCGCTCTGGCCTCCCCTCTCACCCCTAGCCGCCGCTGCCCTCCCTGTATCACCTCCCCGTATACCGCCCACCGCCCCATCCACCGTGCCCCCGGCTTGCAAGCGAGCGAGAAGTAGCTCGTTTGCACGTCGCGTGAGGCGCTGCTCTCCGGTCCCAGTCCGCTCCCGCCGTCTTCCGATCCTCCCTAGTGGGTGGTAGAGAATGAGCTGTGTCTCGCTGAGAGAAGGAGCCCTGTCAGGGTGTGCTGAGAGCAGGAGCTGTTCGTTCCGGTGAGCAAGAAGCCTTACGCATTTGCTCGGTTCCCACCTGTTGTGCGTGATGAGAAGAGCCTGACTCAGGCTGGTCTGGAAGCCGCGAGAAGTAGCTGTGCTCTCCGACCTGAGAGAAGTAGCTGTCTGGTTGGTGGAGAGCAAGGAGCTGTGTGGTGACACGAGAAGCGACGGCTTGTGGCTCGTGACGAGAAGGATGCCTTGTCAGGTGTGTGATGGAGAACGGCGAGCTTTGCGGCGGTCGGCTGAGTAAGAATCGAAGCTGTGGTGGTGAGTGAGAAGCGGGCTGTGTCGGGGTGGTGACGTTCAGAAGGGAGCTGTGGTGGTGATGGAGGAGCGTCGCTCTGTCCTCAGGCACCGACGTCTTGGTGCGCTGAGAGAAGTAGCCGTCGGTGGTGAAAGAATGGGACTGTGGTGGTGATGAGAAGGAGTATCTGTGGTGGATTGACGCAGGTCCGCGCAGAATGTCAGCTGTGGTGGTGACCCGAGGAGTCATGTTTGCCCGCGCTCCCCATTTCTCTTCGTCCTGAGCCCACTGCAAGGACGCTCGTGGTGGTGAGAGACAGGAGCTGCTCGCTCCCCGGGCTGGTGAGTAGACAGGATAAGACTGTCGGCTGCGCTCCCCGCACCGACGAAGGAGCTCGCCGTTCTCGCTGCTCTAGTGACAGCAAGGATCCGGCTGTGGGTTTTGTCGATGTAGACCCGGTTATATTAAGAGCTTTGTTCGTGCTACCTTCTTCCCCGGTTGGGTCCGACCGCCAGAGAAGTCCTCAGCTGCTCCTCGGCTGGTGAGAGAAGGTACCTTGCTCCCTTTCTTCTTGGCTGGTGCACGAGAAAGGGCCTGTCGGTTGTGAGAGAGGAAGCTTGTCGGTCATCGGGAGCCGCGCCGGCGGCTGTCCCAATGCCCCGCCCCCCTGTGCTGAGAGGCAAGCGAGCTGTGGGCTGTCTTGACGACGCCGAAAAGGCCAGCTGTTGCGGTTGGTGACGATTGAAGTCCCTGTGGTGGTGCAGAGAGAAGGCGCCACGTGTGGGTGGTGATGACAGGAAGGAGCCTGTTGTGTGCATGAGAGAAAGCTGTCGGTGCGCTGAGAGAAGGAGCTGTCTTGGGCGGTCCAAGCGTGGGCTGGTGACGGAGAAGGAGCTGTCGGTGGTGACGGAGAAGGGAGCCTGCTCTGGTGGTGAGAGAAGTAGCTGTGTGGTGCCTGAGTAGCTAAGTAGCTTGTGGTGTCGGTTGCACGCGCGGATGAGAGTTATCGGTGGTGTGGCGCTGAGAGAGTAGCTGTGGTCGGGTGGATGAGAAGGCTTGTCGGTGTGGGAGAGAAGAGCCTGTGGTTGGTGAGAGAGGAGCGGTCCGATGTGAATATAGAATCCGCGGTGCGTGATGAGAAGCGATCTGTGGTGCCGGAGAGAGGAGCTGCTGGCTGGCTGAGAGAACGTAGCTTGTTGGTGCAGTGAGGAGAAGGAGCATGTAAGGTGAGTCGACGAGAGAGAGCTGTGGCTGCTGGTGAGAGAAGTAGCTCGTCGGTGGTGAGAGAAGGAGCCTGTGGTGGGTGAGAGAAGAGCTGTCGGTGGTGAGGAGAAGTAGCTGTGGAGTTGCAGGCGTCGGTGAAGAGAAGGGAGCGTGTGTATGTTGAGAGTAAGGAGCTTGTGGTGCGTGAAGGAAGGAGCTGTGGTGGTGAGAGAAGGAGCTGTGGTGGTGAGAGAAGGAGCTGTGGTGGTGAGAGAAGTAGCTGTGGTGGTGAGAGAAGGAGCTGTGGTGGTGAGAGAAGGAGCTGTGGTGGTGAGAGAAGGAGCTGTGGTGGTGAGGATGGTGAACGTGGGAGATGTGTGGCGGGGCTTGCAGTAGAAGATGTCTGTCTGAGGAAAGAGAGGAGACATGTGGGTGAGGCGAGATCATAGAGGTGGGGGTGTGAGGTGGGAATAATGGTTGGGGGAGGCAAACTAGGTAGAGGGAGGTGGAATGGGGGAGCCAACAAGCATCTCAGGGCGTCGCGGCAGGCAGTGTGGTTACGCAGAACTAACTAAGCTACGTGGATGGGAGAGGAGAAGGGGGCTGGCTAAGAGAGGAGGGAAAAGACAGAGGGGGAGTCATGACAACACGCGACACTCTCCTGCTGCGTGAACACTTAAACGCACGTTATAAGTTTCCGCAGGTTTTGCGTTGGTTATAGGTTTACACGGGATTTACTCGCACGTTACGAGTTTTACACAAGCTGTAGCATAGGCCTTATACAGTTTTTACATAGTTTATAGGTTTTTGCTGGTTTTACACAGGTTCACACGACTGCGTTTAATTCATACAGGCAATGTCAAGAAGCTAGGAAGCTAGGACTCTCTGCATAGACTGAGAATCTGCCAAAACATCTACTAGGAGGCAGTGAAACTTTGTACAGAGGATGCCAATACAGGCACGGGGAGGCTGGGGAAGAGAGGATGCCGAGGGAGGGCAGGAAGATTGTGAATATTGCGTAAATGTTTAGAACAGCTGTTTCAGGAGATGCCACACGAAGGCAAAGGAACTCCAAGGATGCCGAAAATTCCACCATGTACATCACAGAGCGGCTAGGTATGCATGCACGCACGCACGCACGCACGCACGCACGCACGCACGCCCACGCACGCACGCCCACGCACGCACGCCCACGCACGCACGCGCGCGCGCGCGCGCGCACACACACACACACGCACACACACACACACACACACACACACACACACACACACACACACACACACACACACA